TTTTTTCATTCTAAGTTCAAAGCCCTTAAAACTTTTCAATGTTAACACAACCCATTTTTATACAATGTTCAAGGCACTGAAATTATTCAGTCTTAACCTTTTAAAAACAGCATATCGCATATTTGTAGCCAACATAATGGCTATATACATTTCCACAAAAGTATGAGTGCTGAAACTGAAAGTTCAACATTCAGGAAAGATAAGTTTGTCTAAAATCATTGAACCACGACCAAATTCAAACTTAAACTGCTTATTCCTAAGATGTATCTATATTATTTTCAAAGTGAAAGGGACATAACTCTGCCAAAAAATCATCGAACCATGACCAAATTCCAACTTGACCTGCGCATTCCTTTGACATATCCATATGTCAATTTTGAGTTGAATATGTAACACTGTTGGGTAGATAATGAACAGAAACTGTAAATTTCATATTATTTTCAAAGTGAAAGGGGCATTACTCTGCCAAAAATCATTGAACCATGACCAGATTCGAACTTGGTCTGCGCATTCCAAAAACATATCCGTATGTCAAATTTGAGTTGAATGTGTAATATTGTTGGGGAGATAATAAAACGGAAAATGAAAATTTCATATTATTTTCAAAGTGAAAGGGACATAACTCTGCCAAAAAATCATCGAACCATGACCAAATTTGAAATTGACCTGCGCATTCCTTTGACGTATCAATCTGTCAAATTTGAGTTGAATGTTTAATACTGTTGGGGAGATAATAAACAGAAACTGAAAATTTCATATTATTTTCAAAGTAAAAGGGGCATAACTCTGCCAAAAATCATCGAACCATGACCAATTTTGAACTTGACCTGCGCATTCCTTTGACGTATCGATATGTCAAGTTTGAGCTAAATGTGTTGTACGATTGGGGAGATAATGAACGGAAACTGAAAATTTCATATTATTTTCAAAGTGAAAGGAGCATAACTCTGCAAAAAATCATTGAACCATGACCAAATTTAAACTTGACCTGTGCATTCCTTTGACGTATCCATATGTCAAGTTTGAGTTGAATGTGTTGTACCACTGGGGAGTTAATGAACGGAAACTGAAAATTTCATATTTATTTTCAAAGTAAAAGGGGCATAACTCTGCCAAAAATCATCGAACCATGACCAAATTTGAACTTGAACCTGTATTTTCTCATGACATATCAATATGTCAAGTTTGAAGTTGAATGTGTTGTACCGTTGGGAGATAATGAACGGAAACTGAAAATTTCATATTATTTTCAAAGTAAAAGGGGCATAACTCTGCCAAAAATCATCGAACCATGACCAATTTCGAACTTGACCTGTATTTTCTTATGACATATCAATATGTCAATTTTGAATTGAATGTTTTGAACGTTTGGGAGATAATGAACGGAAACTGAAAATTTCATATTATTTTCAATGTAAAAGGGGCATAACTCTGCCAAAAATCATCGAACCATGACCAATTTCGAACCTTGACCTGTATTTTCTCATGACATATCCATATGTCAATTTTGAATTGAATGTTTTGAACCGTTTGGGAGATAATGAACGGAAACTGAAAATTTCATATTATTTTCAATGTAAAAGGGGCAATAACTCTGCCAAAATCATCGAACCATGACCAATTTCGAACTTGACCTGTATTTTCTCATGACATATCCATATGTCAATTTGAGTTCAATATGTGCAAGGGTTATTAAGATAATGAACGGAAACTGATGATGACGGAAGGACGGAATGACGGAACAGGGTAACACTATATGCCCCTGCCATTATATGGCGGGGGCATAAAAACTTAGGAACAACACATAGCCATAAGAACGAGAACATCACCGCTAAACCGAATCCAGAAACAATGGTCTTCAACATACCGAACCCTATATCACCAATACCGGCAAGCCCTAGCACAAGCTCCGAAACCATCTGTCAGGATGAGTACCTGTGTTTTAACTCGGATAATGAACTTATAATCAATGTAAATAGAATATATGGACTTCTCTCTAACAATTAAGAACTCTATAAATTATACAGACCAGAATTTAAATAATTAATTGGCATATTGCCAATATTGACTCTATTTTTAGTAACAATTGATCTATATTTAGTAACATACGTCATATAACGTAGCCGTTTTTTTACCACCTTAAGAGACGAAATTTTTATTAAAATTGTCCTGATGAAGGTCGTATAGACCGAAACTAGTAGACACAAATAAAATATTGTAAACTTGCTCTGGTGTTGACGTGTATTACTCGTTAATTTATATTTCCTTGGTTGATGATTAAAAACAAGAAAAAAATTTGTTTGTTTTTCGTACAATTTTAAGAATTTCCAATGGAACATTGTTGTTGTTGTTGTTGTTTTATATGTATTAGTAAAACTCTAGAACAATTCTCCTGATAAGCTGAACTTTATTGCCGCACTTTGCAATCTGCATACGTCAAATTTCGTTACAAAATTACTCACGGGGTGGGGGGAAATAAAATCAAATTTACCGAAAAAATTGAGTCGGTGACCCCCTAATTTCTTTAGTTATTTTGACTAAGTATACATTTTAAAGGACGTTTAAAGAAAAAAATCAAAAATTTATTTCAGGATTTTCTTAATAAGCCGCTTTAAAGCCTAAAAATGCGGCTAAACTGAACGTCAAATTTTACACAAAATTGACAATTTTCTTTCCAATACTCAAACAATTTTCGGCGTAAAACAATAAATTTTATATCTGCTTGAAGGAAAAAATAACTTCCGTCGAATGCTATAGGATTTAAGATATTTTGTCCGCCAATGGCGTTGAAATACCCGTAACAGTTGCCAAGGATACGCAACGACGTCATGTTCAAAAACGGGCTTTGATGGTCAACTTTGATGTCGTGTGTACAAAAATTGGCTGAAACTATAGAAATAAAATTAACGGAACCTAATCAGAAATATGGTCAACTTTTTGCATGCCAATTTTCAAAACGCTACTCGAAAGTTCGCAAAGTGTCGCGTTCTACCTTAATATCTAAACTCTAGCTATTTGGGTTTTTTCAAAGATGTTTTTTTAAGTTTTTCCTATACACATATAAGGAAAATCAATGACCCCCAGGGCAGGGCCAATTTTGACCCCAGGGCTTTTATTTGAACAAACTTTGTAGACACTCACTAGAAGATGTTTCATGCTTAATATCTTAACTCTAGCTATTTAGGTTTTTTCAAAGAATACTTTTTAAGTTTTTGATATACACATATATAAGGAAAATCAATGACCCCAGGGCGGGGCCAATTTTGACCCCAGGGCTCTTATTTGAACAAACTTGGTAGACACCCATTAGAACATGTTTTCATGCTAAATATTTAGGCTCTAGCTCTTTGAGTTCTTTAAAAGAAGATTTTTTAAGTTTTTTACTATAATTATACATGTACATATAAGGGAAAATCAATGACCCTGGGGCGGGGCCAATTTTGACCCCAGGGCTTTTATTTGAACAAACTTGGTAGACACCCATTAGAACATGTTTCATGCTAAATATCTTAGCTCTAGCTCTTTGAGTTCTTTAAAAAAAGATTTTTTAAGTTTTTACTATATACATATAGGGAAAATCAATGACCCCCTGGGGCGGGGCCAATTTTGACCCCAGGGCTTTTATTTGAACAAACTTGGTAGACACCCATTAGAACATGTTTCATGCTAAATATCTTAGCTCTTTGAGTTCTTTAAAAGAAGATTTTTTAAGTTTTTACTATATACATATAGGGAAAATCAATGACCCCCTGGGGCGGAGCCAATTTTGACCCCAGGGCTTTTATTTGAACAAACTTGGTAGACACTCATTAGAACATGTTTCATGCTAAATATCTTAGCTCTAGCTCTTTTGGTTCTTTAAAAGAAGATTTTTTAAGTTTTTACTATATACATATAGGGAAAATCAATGACCACCTGGGGCGGGGCAATTTTGACCCCAGGGCTTTTATTTGAACAAACTTGGTAGACACCCATTAGAACATGTTTCATGCTAAATATCTTAGCTCTAGCTCCATGACTTCTTTAAAAGAAGATTTTTTAAGTTTTTACTATATACATATAGGGAAAATCAATGACCCCCTGGGGCGGGGCAATTTTGACCCCAGGGCTTTTATTTGAACAAACTTGGTAGACACCCATTAGAACATGTTTCATGCTAAATACCTTAGCTCTAGCTCTTTGAGTTCTTTAAAAGAAGATTTTTTAAGTTTTTACTATATACATATAGGGAAAATCAATGACCCCCTGGGACGGGGCCAATTTTGACCCCAGGGCTTTTATTTGAACAATCTTGGTAGACACTCACTAGAAGATGTTTCATGCCAAATATCTAAGCTCTAGCTCTTTCGGTTTTTTAAAAGAAGATATTTAAAGTTTTTTCTTTTGGTTGCCATGGCAACCAGAGTTCTGCATGGAATTAAATTCTTTCAACAATTTTTAAAGGTGACCACCAAAGGAACATTCCTGTGAAGTTTGGATAAAATTGGCTTAGTGGTTTATGAGGAGCTGTCATTTAAAGTAAAAGTTTACGGACGGACGACGGACAGACGGCCGGACGCCGGACGAAAAGCGATCACAAAAGCTCACCCTGTCACTTTGTGACAGGTGAGCTAATAAAAGCTGAGGGCCACAAGCCTTAGGGGATGCTGCCGCCGCCCATAACAACACGACACCGCCAATAAAAGTAACCCCTATATACATGTTATAGTGTCATTTTGTTTTGATTTTTGAATCAAAACAAAATGACACTATAACATGTAGAGTTTATGAAGAGTTATATCACAACTCTTCAACTTTGACTGTCAGAGGAGGTACTTACAATTATTTCTAGGTACATGTATAACTAACAATTTTCTGTAAAGAAAGGATAGCTTCTACACATAAAACAATTTAAAAGAAGAACTTGAACACATAGCAGTGAGAAGATTTACCAATCAGCCACTTTAACCACAAGTACACCCCCCCCAAATCTACGGATAATTTCTACCATATGAAAGGATATGACCCGGTTTAACTGGTTTGAGGTTGACGAAGGCATAAGTCAAAGCTGTCCTGTAGAACACTTGCTTACTACCAATTTTACAATGACCAAAAACATAGTCCTTCTGTTTGTCTATACTTTCAACTGAAATATAAAGAATACATTTAGAAGGAAATAAATATATAAAGAGAACTAAGGAGTAAAGCCAAACACTGGAGAGGAAGAGAGATTTATACAGTCTATTGGTCTTTAAATTAAAAAATTCAAAAAATTCCTTCACAATGTAGAAAGTTTGCTTACTTCCATGTAATACTTTCATGTCTTTTTTATTTTATCTCATATATCATTCAAAGGCCTGATTTATTTTCTAAAATTACTCTTTTTTTATGAGCAGCAATTAACTGAAACATTTATTTTGTATATGGTGAAATCTGACAGTATCAATTTTAGCGAACAAAAACACAAATTACTATCAAAATCTCAGAGGGTTTGCACATACTAACCAAACTCGGTGTAGGGAATAGGGTTGTAATGATCCCCTAACCCCACTGTCTCAACATCTGGATCTGCTCATTTACAATAATACTCAAGAACAGTTGTATGTAAATCAAGTATAATATAATTATATGGCACAGTATAATACAAATGTGTCCTTAATAAATTTACAAATATAGTTATGTGTATTTTGATACTTTCTTTTACCTGGAGTATGAAGATTAAGACTACCATAGAGATCTGTCCGTCTGTGTTTGTGTATTGGCATTTGTAATCTAACTTTATGTAGATAATCAAGGTCTACCTCTGCCACACAAACACCCTCACCCTCCGCACACTCAGCCAGCACTGTGCCCCATGGATCTACTATCTACTGTGGAATATATACAAACTTTTGAAACTTTTGCAATCATTGTAAGAATTTACAACAATTTAAGCCAGTGAAAAAAACAAAGAACTTGTACATTTTCTGATGAAATAACTCTTGAAATCAGGTAAGAAATTACATCTTTTTAATAAATATTTACAGAATGAAAGCTAAAAAAGAGCTAAACCATTTTTTTTAAATTATAATTAATAATATAATTGATAAAAATTTATGATACATTTACAAATAGTTATATAAGTTTTGGGGGAAGCCTGGCCCTTTAAAAAAGGTTAAGGTTCTGCCTCTCCCCAGGGTTTAAGGGGTTTAAACCCACCGGTTTAAAGATCAGTTTTCCCCATATGACACCCGTACTGGTTTGTCCAGGGAAACAGACCCCAAAAGTGGGTTTTTTATCCCGGGCAAGAACTTGTTTTGTAAATTAAACCCAAAACAAAAATTTAAACTAGTTATTTCAAAATATAAGCATAAATGGGATAAAAAACAGTAAAGCAAAAAAAAAGTCCCAAACCCAAAAAAGATATTTATTAAAGTACATGTAAAAAGGGCCCGCATATTAAATTTTAAAATGAGAAGGGTTTGAAAAACAAAAATTTAAAGGGGAAATTTTAGCCTTCCCTTTAGAGAGTGGTTTTAAAACATGTTCTTCCCGACTATTCATAGGAATTTTTCTTTTTCATTGTGCTTCCCCGTTTGGGGCAGGCCCGGGCCCCAAAAGTACACTGTGACTCTATTGACGGTTCCTTAAAAAATACCTAAAAAAATATAAATATCCTGAGTTTTGGGTTAATTTTTTAAATATTTTTAATACAAAATTTAAGCCAAAGGGATGAACAATTTTTTATCAAAAAAAACAAAAACCCCCGTTTTTTAGTTTTAAAAAAATAAATTTACTGTATGTTAGATGCTAATCATTAGAAGAATGCAGCATTGAATGTGAAATATTTTGTCATAAGAGAGATTATCAAAAACTTTATATTTTATAACTTTGTAAAAAAACGTCAGTGACAGGGTGCCGTGTGTGTATCGTAGAGTAATAAGGTAAGTTAGAGGGGGAGATTAGCCAAGTTATAAATAATTTTATCAGGGTCCTTGTTGCTGACTATCGGCTGGAAAAACAACAACAAGTACAGACTGAAAAATTGGCAAAAGCAATGCTGCACCTTTTCTTTATCTCAGGGAAAGACCAAGAGGTATTCCTATGTTAATAAAGGCTGTGGAAAAAAAGCCAAAGTCTTTGCAAAATAAATGGCACTAACAATGATGCAAGGCACATGGACCAGCATGGCGAGAAAACAGAAGAGCATGTTGTACAGATTCTGACATCACTAGGTACATTTACTACTCCATTTGACAAATTAGCCACGATAGAACAAAACCAACATAGTGCGTTTGCGACCAGCATGGATCCAGACCAGCCTGCGCATCCGTGCAGTCTGATCAGGATCCATGCTGTTCGCTAACAAACCCTATTACAAGTAGAGAAACTGATAGCGAACAGCATGGATCCTGATCAGACTGCGCGGATGTGCAGGCTGGTCTGGATCCATGCTGGTCGCAAATGCGCTATGTTGGTTTTGTCGTGGCGTGACTCAATTGTTTTCGAATTTTGCACAATCCCTATAAATAATGGTTGATAATGTTGTACAGTTGATAATGTTGAACACATATTACAATGAATGAGCAAACAATTGCAAACTTCTCCTCTTAATTACAAGCAGATAATAAATTAATTAATGAATTTGTTGCTACAGTTGTAATAGGAAATTTTTTATGCTATTGGTAAACCAATTAAAATAGAGGTAAGTTCATACATGCCAATGTGCCATCCCTGTAGGGACTGTAAATGCTGAAGGGAAAGTCAATATCTCTGCACCTTGGTTCCTATGCACCAATGACATTTCTGGGAATCTCATGTCATAACACTAAAAGAAATATATACAGTCAATGGTAAATGTACATCAACAAAACTAATAATAATAAGTTGTTGTTTTTTTGTTTTTATTCAAAATAAGCAATCATTGTAGCTATCTCTATAAACTAAAACTGCATTTGACTATTCATGTAAAAGTATCATGTTAATATATTGACATGTGATAATATAATATAAAAGTGTCATGTAGTAAACATATTGACAGTATCATATAAAAATATCATGTAAAAATATTGACATGTAAAAAATATCATTTAAAAATATTGACATGTATCATGTATAAATATCAGGTTACATTATTATTTTACAAGAACATTCACACATTATATGTTTTCCAAACAAGTCTGACTAATTTGCATACTGATTATGACAGATATTACACTGTTGACGGCCCAATTATATAGAGGATATTTGTTTGTTTCAGTGTAAGATCGAAAAATATTTCACCGAGTGAACACCAGATGCAATATTTTCCACGAGTGGCGTAGCCATGAGTGAAAATATAATAGCTGGGGTTCACGAGTGAAATATTATTTGATCTTACATGTAAAACAAACAAATTTTCTGTTTATTTCATGATTTTTTAACGATTTTTACACCATTTTACTGATTTTTGCCGCGTAACGTCATGCTCTTATCTTCACGACGTCATCAAATAATGACGTCACAATGTTGAAGCAAAATATAATTCCATGATTATTTTTAGATTTTAGAAGTTTTTCAGCACAACGTTCGTAAATATTTACGAACTACAGTTATCACGTACATTTTTTATTATGATTGACTACATTTCCGCTGAAAAAAAATTCATTAATGATAAATATTTATTTTTACGCCAAATAAAGTTCGGCTACTGTGAAATTATATTTGGTAATCATTACTGTGAAATTATCAGAATATAATTAACCGTTATAATTCAGTAATCTACTGCAAAACATGTAATAAAGTATTTTAACCATTCAGTTCCGCTAAAGTAACAATAAAAGAGTTAATAATTAGATAATTAGAACTTACAATACCAAGAGCAATTTTTCCGACAGGGGACTCAATGGGTGGAGTAATCTGATTCCCAGGTATGGTATAATCACTCTCACATAGACGTATCTTTCCTGGTATATCTAGATCAAACATATGAGTCTTACAATATGTGCCTTGTATGTCTCCTCGATCATCTACCATCACATGTGTGTTGTACAACTTCTTCACATTCTCATCTTGTGACTTTAATGGAACATAAATGAAGGTCATGAAAAGTCACCAAAAGGTGCAAATGATTATGTAAATTAATTAAATACAAATAAATAAATAAAACATTCTTTCATACACTGCAAGAACAGATTTATAAGACATAGAATATAATTGCTAAATCAGTGGGCATTCCTCTGTCAATTTTCAAAAAATCTATGTCAAAATTCCAAGGTGCATAAGATCACATGCTGGCATCTATTTTTAGCAAGTTCAATGGCTCTGATACAAATTTATTGACAATCAGTTGAGTTATGGCCCCTGATTAAGCAAAAATAAATAAATAGACAAGTGTTGTTTGTAACATCAATGTTATAACAGCCATGTTATTATGCACTCATAACTGACTAATTGTACAGATGTTTTTTGAAAAAAAAAGGGATCTGGGGGACATCTGTGTGCTGTGGACATATTTTCTAGTTACTAATTCATTTAAAGTCAACTTGACATCAGCATTTCATTTTATCTTATCTATCTAGTTTGTTAGTAAAATTCTTACCTTTTGATGAAATCCACCAATGGAAATCCACACAGATAATTCCTTTGCTAACTGACGATATTTACTGATTGTCTCCCCTTCTAATGTTTCAGCAAATTCCATACTTTGTTGTTTACTGTCTGCTATGTAGTCACAAGCCTCGGGTAAAAACACCATCTGTTCATATATAAAAAGAAATCTTGCAACTCAACTCAATGATACAATGTTTACATACAAGTCATATACATGGATAAATGTTCAGCAATAAAACTTTGAATGTTGCGTAAAATGACAAATACTGATTTAAACTTTTTGTCCATTATCAATGAATATTGATCAGTTCCCCTAGTCTTGAATGGAATCTTGCCACTGGTCCATGTTACATAATTAAGTACTAAGAATTGATTAGATTTGAATCAGGATAAGACTGTATTCTCTTGTCTCAAGCAAAAGATGTGACTTTTATACTGGAGGCTGCTGATTATTTGCGAACTCAAAACATTCCTATGAAATAGACTAACACTTTAATAAAGATAATGAAACTGAATACTTTTGACTTTACCTTTGCACCAAGGGCTTTACATCTTTCCACTAGTGACTTTGCATGCTGAAAGTTTGCTAACTTGTCACCAGTTGAAGTCATCTGACAAACCCCTATCACAGAATGAGGTTTTGACAATAAGTTTGTATCTACCGTAGACATTTTATTTGAAAAGCAACTGATAAAAGTCCTTGAACATCGAAGTAAGGCTGAAGTGTGCTTCTGCATAATTAGCGTCACATGACTGTTGAATATAATACACATATTAAGCTTAGAGTTATATCTATAAACCACATGAATAAAACAGTATAATTTTCAACTGAGTGAATTCTATTCACTACCTCTCGTTTTACATCAAGAATTTATTAAAACAAGAGGGCCATGATGGCCCTAGATCGCTCACCTGAATTATCAAACTCATCCAAACAATTACCTAGACAAGCATTCTGACCAAGTCTCATGACAGGTGAGTCAAAAATGTGACCACTACAGTGTTAACAAGGATTATCCATATTTGAGCAGTTGCGACCTAGTTTTTTACCCAGGTGACACATATTCAAACTTGACTAGAATCATCAAAACAAACTTTCAGACCAATTTCCAGGATACTTGGATCAAAACAGTAGCAACTAGAGTGTTAACAAGATTTTTCTATTTTTAGCTCCGGTGACCTAGTTTCACATGCGATTTCGAACTCATCCAAGCAATTACCTAGACAAGCATTCTGACCAAGTTTGATGATAATGGAGTCGAAAATGTGACCACTAGAATGTTAACAAGGTTTTTCCATATTTGGGCGGTGTGACCTAGTTTTTCATCCAAGATGACCCATGTTCGATCTTGACTTAGAAATCATCAAAACAAACTTTCAGACCAATTAACAGAATATTTGGATCACAACAGTAGCCACTAGAGTGTTAACAAGATTTTTCTATTTTTAGCTCCTTGTGACCTAGTTTTTCATCCGAGATGTCCCATGTTCGATTTATTCCCAGCAATGACCTAGACAAGTTTCCTGACCAAGTTTGATGACAATTGAGTCAAAATTGTGACCACTAGAGTGTTAACAAGTTTTTCTATTTTTAGCTCCTGTGACCTAGTTTTCATCCGAGATGACCCATGTTCGAACTCATCAGAGTTTTTACCTAGACAAGCATCTTGATCAAGTTTGATGATGATTGATGCAAAAATGTGACCGCTAAAGTGTTAACAAGGTTTTCTATTTTTAGCTCCGGTGACCTACTTTTTCATCCGAGATGACCCATGTTCGAACTCATCCAAGCTATCAACTAGATAAGCATCCTGACCAAGTTTGATGATGATGATGCAAAAAATGTGACCGCTAGAGTGTTAACAAGGTTTTTTCTATTTATAGCTCCGGTGACCTAGTTTTTCATCCGAGATGACCCATATTCGAACTCATCCGAGCTATTATCTAAACAAGCATCCTGACAAAGTTTGATGATGATTGGGTCAAAAATGTGACCACTAGAGTGGTCACAAGGTTTTTCTATTTTTAGCTCCTGTGACCTAGTTTTTCATCAGAGATGACCCATGTTCGAACTCATCCGAGTTTTTACCTAGACAAGCATCTTGATCAAGTTTGATGATGATTGATGCAAAAATGTGACCGCTAAAGTGTTAACAAGGTTTTTCTATTTTTAGCTCCGGTGACCTACTTTTTCATCCGAGATGACCCATGTTTGAACTCATCCAAGCTATCAACTAGATAAGCATCCTGACCAAGTTTGATGATGATTGATGCAAAAATGTGACCGCTAGAGTGTTAACAAGGTTTTTCTATTTATAGCTCCGGTGACCTAGTTTTTCATCCGAGATGACCCATATTCGAACTCATCCGAGCTATTATCTAAACAAGCATCCTGACAAAGTTTGATGATGATTGGGTCAAAAATGTGACCACTAGAGTGTTCACAAGGTTTTTCTATTTTTAGCTCCTGTGACCTAGTTTTTCATCAGAGATGACCCATGTTCGAACTCATCCAAGCAATTGACTAGACAAGCATTCTGACCAAGTTTGATGATGATTGGTTCAAAAAATGTGACCACTAGAGTGTTCACAAGGTTTTTCTATTTATAGCTCCTGTGACCTACTTTTTCATCCGAGATGACCCATGTTCGAACTCATCCGAGCTATCACCTAGACAAACATCCTGACCAAGTTTGATGATGATTGGGTCAAAAATGTGACCTCTAGAGTGTTCACAAGGTTTTTCTATTTTTAGCTCTTGTGACCTAGTTTTTCATCTGAGATGACCCATGTTCGAACTCATCCGAGCTTTCAACTAGATAAGCATCCTGACCAAGTTTGATGATGATTGAGGCAAAAATGCGACCGCTAGAGTGTTCACAAGCAATTGTGGACGGCCGGACGGCCGGACGGACGACGGACGACGGACATTCATCGATCCTAAAAGCTCACCCTGAGCAAGCTCAGGTGAGCTAAAAAAAAAAAAAAAAGATCAGGAAAATTTAATCTTTTTATAAAATATGAAAGCTCCCTTTTTCCATTTAAATTATAAAATCTGAAGTCGCATGGCCTTCTTTTCATTATACAATTACTACTGGTAACTGAAAGCATTCCCAATGAAGGTCTTTTTCCAAATTGAAAATCATAAATTCACAATCCTCCATCTGCATTAATGGTTTTGTTGCTTTTTTAAACTTTTTTTGTCCTGTATAGAAACCCTTCTAAAATTTCTAATAGAAAAATCCTGTAAGTTAAAACTTTTCTTTAATTTCTATTAGATACAGTATCATTCTCTAAAATTCCCAATTTGGACTTTTTACTACAATTTTTTTGCTAATTCCAAATGTGTAAGTGGCATTCCTATATTGTTGGAATACAGCCACAGGCCAGGCCATGTAGTAAAACACACAATAACTATGAGAATGTCACCTTGGAATAAGCAAAATGAAACAAGTTTAATCATGACAATTTATAACAATGGTTACTTTTAAATACAAGTATCTCAAAAACTATGATGGTTTTTTTGAAAAGTTTCATCAAAAGTACTTTACTGGGATCATTTAACTTTCCATCAGTGGAGATTTTAAGCACAATTTTGTCATCTCAAGATTATTAATCTTTATCTGAAGTTTCACAAAAAGACATTGTTTTCCTGAAATGGAAGTCTTGGTATAAGATTCATGAATGCAGGACAAACTAAGTTCCTAAAAATTTCATGTAGATGAAATTAAAAAGATTCAAAACAATATTGAATGTATTACAGTAAAAAATACTGAATTTTACCAGTTACTTTTTCATAAAATACTGAATAAAAAAATTCACATTTCATAATTATCCTTTTCCCCAGTGATTTTTTTTTCCAATTTTCAAAACAACCTGTGGCTTTCGAAAGGGGAAAATATAGGGTGATAAAACAGAAAAGGGGGAAAACCTGAAATCAAATTCCAACAACTGAAAATGTAATTTACCCACACATTTTATATAAAATTTTGGTTTTAAATCAATTTAACATGCATAGTACTTAGCAGATTTCAATTCAATTTAACATGCATAGTACTTAGCAGAGGCTATCTATAGGGAAAGATTTCTGTCTTCTAGCTGATATAAGTCATAATTTTGGTCAGGAAGAGCACGAGGCATTTTAGGGGAAAATTTACCTATTTTGGGCTAGGGGAAACAGCCTTTATTTGGGTGTAAAATACAGTGAAAAAAGTCACTGTTTTCCCTGAATGGATTTTTTTTGTTCTGAAAATTTCAAATATATTGGATTCATTTGCTGCAATTTATCTTATTAATCATTCTGGAATGGTAGTACATGTAGTTACTTGCTTGCCCCATATAATTAGGGAACAAGACACTTCACCCTCCAAGAAGGGTTCCCTATATAGCTAGTCCAATATATTAGATGTTACAGGATTGTTATAGTTTATGATGGTCTAGCCTGACATCTAATAGATATTGCCCATAAACACAAAGCAACATAGAAAAATTTTAAAAATGTCTATTGTCTTGTTTGTGAAGCTTTAATCAAAATTTTATCAAATTTTCTTTCAATTTCGTGCTGAATTACTAATAAAAAATCTCAAACAATGTAATTATCAATTTAAAATAAAATATAGAACAATCTATTTTTTGCCTATCGGCCATACTTGTTAGGTAAAGTGCTTTACAGACTGATTCCAAATTTTTTGATGGACGAATATATTCCTACATACTGATGGTGCATTGAATAATCTTTCATTCAAAAACATTTCGTTTGAAACTTTTACTCATTTTAACCCTTGAATTCTATAAGCCATTTATAAAGATTTAGCACACTTTGTGACAGCCATTTGTTTACCTCTCTTTGTTTACTGGCTGTATCAGAAATTTAATTATATGATAATAAATGGATTTAAACATTTTCTTATAAGCCTATTTAATAAGGTAATTTTAGGTATTGGTTTTTTTACTTTTGTTCCTGAACAGCTAAATATTAATGTACTTTAATGCTGCATAAGTGATTTATTGTTCCGCATTATTTTCAAACAGAATGTGCTATGGGTTTATGAGCATTTTCTTTATGATGTTGCTTTGCCAAGAAGAAAAAATATCTACAACCAACATCATATTTATGAGGCTATCTATGTAGGAATCTATCTACGGGCCCGTACGGCTAGCCAAAAGTTCTAGCTATACGTGAGTCCCTACCACTAGCAAGGACACACTGTATTGGCTAGCTGCCTGTACGTCAATTTTCTAAATTAGATGGAAGTCGAAAATGCATATGTTATTTTATGACTTTAAGCAAGGATTTAAAGCAAGAAACAGCAAATGCCTTCGTATATTTACTTTTTAGAGATTAATCGCCGTGTTGGCTACAGTAAACAAGAGGGCCATGATGGCCCTAGATCGCTCACCTGAATTATCAAACTCATCCAAACAATTACCTAGACAAGCATTCTGACCAAGTCTCATGACAGGTGAGTCAAAAATGTGACCACTACAGTGTTAACAAGGATTATCCATATTTGAGCAGTGTGACCTAGTTTTTTACCCAGGTGACACATATTCAAACTTGACCTAGAAATCATCAAAACAAACTTTCAGACCAATTTCCAGGATACTTGGATCAAAACAGTAGCAACTAGAGTGTTAACAAGATTTTTCTATTTTTAGCTCCGGTGACCTAGTTTCACATGCGATTTCGAACTCATCCAAGCAATTACCTAGACAAGCATTCTGACCAAGTTTGATGATAATGGAGTCGAAAATGTGACCACTAGAATGTTAACAAGGTTTTTTCCATATTTGGGCGGTGTGACCTAGTTTTTCATCCAAGATGACCCATGTTCGATCTTGACTTAGAAATCATCAAAACAAACTTTCAGACCAATTAACAGAATATTTGGATCACAACAGTAGCCACAAGAGTGTTAACAAGATTTTTCTATTTTTAGCTCCTGTGACCTAGTTTTTCATCCGAGATGTCCCATGTTCGATTTATTCCCAGCAATGACCTAGACAAGTTTCCTGACCAAGTTTAATGACAATTGAGTCAAAATTGTGACCACTAGAGTGTTAACAAGGTTTTTCTATTTCTAGCTCTTGTGACCTACTTTTTCATCCGAGATGACCCATGTTCGAACTCATCCGAGCTATCACCAAGTTTGATGATGATTGATGCAAAAATGTGACCGCTAGAGTGTTAACAAGGTTTTTCTATTTTTAGCTCCGGTGACCTACTTTTCATCCGAGATGACCCATGTTCGAACTCATCCAAGCTATCAACTAGATAAGCATCCTGACCAAGTTTGATGATGATTGATGCAAAAATGTGACCGCTAGAGTGTTAACAAGGTTTTTCTATTTATAGCTCCGGTGACCTAGTTTTTCATCCGAGATGACCCATATTCGAACTCATCCGAGCTATTATCTAAACAAGCATCCTGACAAAGTTTGATGATGATTGGGTCAAAATGTGACCACTAGAGTGGTCACAAGGTTTTTCTATTTTTATCTCCTGTGACCTAGTTTTTCATCAGAGATGACCCATGTTCGAACTCATCCAAGCAATTGACTAGACAAGCATTCTGACCAAGTTTGATGATAATTGGTTCAAAAATGTGACCACTAGAGTGTTCACAAGGTTTTTCTATTTATAGCTCCTGTGACCTACTTTTTCATCCGAGATGACCCATGTTCGAACTCATCCGAGCTATCACCTAGACAAACATCCTGACCAAGTTTGATGAAGATTGGGTCAAAAATGTGACCTCTAGAGTGTTCACAAGGTTTTTCTATTTTTAGCTCTTGTGACCTAGTTTTTCATCTGAGATGACCCATGTTCGAACTCATCCGAGCTTTCAACTAGATAAGCATCCTGACCAAGTTTGATGATGATTGAGGCAAAAATGCGACCGCTAGAGTGTTCACAAGCAATTGTGGACGGCCGGACGGACGACGGACGACGGACATTCATCGATCCTAAAAGCTCACCCTGAGCAAGCTCAGGTGAGCTAAAAAAGTACAAATATCGATCTTTGTCATCTCAAGACGTTGAGAAAAAATAGCGTTTGGTCGCAGTTAAATATTATCAATTGAAATAGTTTACAAACTTTTGATGATAATCCATTTTTTTTTTCAATAAGTTTAATTTTCGACACCTTTAAAATGAAAAACTATTGTTGTTGGGCCCTGATAATTGCGTCAATCACCGACGGTATAGAAGTTTGTCCATCATTAAGGAAAGTTTGCATGTTCCGTGAAACGCATTTTAAAATTCTATTGTCAGTCCCTGGGTAGGCTTTAATTAAGGCTTATTAATTGATCGTGCTTTTAAGTTCGATATTTATCTACTGTATTTGAAAATTATACAATCATTTTTGCTTTTCACCGTTTTTTTTTTTTCAATGTTCTTTTAATTTATTCCACTCCGATCATTATTTATTCGATCTATGTGCTTAATTAACAAAAATTCTCCTTTCATACAAATAAAACAACAAATCATAATCACGAGGCACAAAATAGCATATGCATGTTTGACTTCCATATAATTTTGAAAAGTGCCGTACAGCTAGACAATACAGTGAGTCCTGGCTAGTCGTACATGACTTACGTACGGCTAGCCACTTCCATCTATGTAACGTAATTATGGCATACTGTAGTAAAATTTGTCTACAAGTTTCCTTTAGTAATTTACCTTATCCAGCATATGCATGTTCGACTTCCATATAATTTTGAAAAGTGCTGTACAACTAGACAATACAGTGAGTCCTGGCTAGTCGTACGTGACTTATGTACGGCTAGCCACTTCCATCTATCAGGGTCTTTCAAATTTGAAAGACCCTGCATCTATGTAACGTAATTATGGCATACTGTAGTAAAATTTGTCTACAAGTTTCCAGAGCAACAGATAAGCTTTAAAAGTGAATTGGGTATTACTCCATCATTTCCTTTGGAATTGGGTATTGGCTCCATTTAATTGGGTATTCCAAAACTCGATACCCTATGATTTCAAGATCAATTGGGTATTCAATTATGAAGATATGAATTTTATGGTTTCAATATCAAAAAAAGAAAATAGGATTAACAATTTACTAGAACTTTTCACAATTGTTTTATTTTTTATATAAAATGCTCATGTTATATTTCATAATATTTTTAACAAATTCGCTTTCTGACTGATTTTTGATTATTTACGATTGCACGACGCGAAATTGCTTTGATACAGCTGGGACCTACTTATTGACGGTCTCCGCAAAATCAACGGTCTCTGCCGGTCTGTAAAGACCGTCGACCTGAGTAGACAAAGCGACGGTCTCATGCTTTATTGATATGGCTTACTCGGTCATTGGAGACCGGGCACCGTCGAAGACCGGAGACCGTTGATTAGTTAGCATTGATTCGGGAATATTCGGATAGCATGCATATTGATATAATTTGTCCAAAACAACGAGCGTACGACAGATTAATTTTGCGGTGATGAAAATGACAATACGCACGGGTTTTTAAGACAATTGCGTATTTTATTTTTTTAAATGGGTTTTGATACGCATTCTTAAAAAATCAATTGCGTATTTTCTAAAATTAATTGCGTAAATACGCATCTTATCTGTTGCTCTGAGTTTCCGTTAGTAATTTACCTTATCCAGAGTGTCATGATAAAATTATGAAAACATAACATAGAAATACATTGCATTCAAAGTTTAAGGAGTCAACATTAATTTATGTCTCGAAACATTTTGAGGTCGAATCATAAATTCTGCTATTCACCCTTCTAATTTACCAATGATGCAAAATAATACCGTTAACTTTTAACAAAATAAAATTTTAATTTCTGTTACGATTTCTTTATACTTTGGTTCAAAGTTATTAAAGAAAACATGTGATATTTTCAAAAAATACCTTTTTTTCAGAGACTCTTAGTTGTTGTTGTAGTTTATCGGTCACTAAATTTTAAGCCGCAATAACGTAGAAAATAAGTTATTGAAATATTATTCATTCAATAACTTTGTCAAAACATATGTGAATTGTGATTAAGTTTTTAATTTTAATCAAACAGAAAAACCTATTTTATGTCCACAATTATAAGTTATTGCATTGAATACGAAACTAAGTATCTAAAGCTAACTGCAAATTTGCGAAGCGACGCACAATTGCGAAATTATTTTAATTTCACCTTCTGAAAGGATAATATCAAGATGGCACAGAATTGCAAACGTCGTATTTTAGTTGCTGTGGATGGTAGCAAAGCAGCGGACCATGCCTTTCAATGTAAGCTTTCTATGCATTTATAAATTGCTAATATTTGTTTCGTTTATTTCAAACTTTGTTATATTTTTGACCTCTAGCCTTACAAATGTGACAAACTTTTCAGATCTAATAACTAATTAGTTTTAACGGTATACCTTTCATTCCCTAGTTGCTGCTTATGATTCCTTTATTTTATTGTTTTAAATTAAAAGCATTTGTTTCCTTAATTTAAAAATGCTGTTGGTTCAAAAACTTGAACAACAAGGCTTCTAGTCCAATAGATTAGACGTTACAGGCTTGTTATAGTTTTATGTTGGTCAAGCCTGACGTCTAATAGTTATTGGTCAAAAACGCGTAGCATTTTGAAAAATTAAAAAAATGTCTGTTGACTTGCCTTTCAAACTTTATTCAAAAGCTTATCTTCTGTTCTTTCAATTGCATGGTCTATCAGTAACAAAAAGTTTCAAACAATGTATACTGCACAGACGCTTGGGGGTCAGATCCTGCCCTGCCCCCCCCCACGTGATACGCCCCTGTAAACACTCTACCAAAACTATTTTAATATTTAAACACGAATTGTACATCTGTTACAACGATAAAAATGGTTTTCAAACAATTTTAACGTATATGAAAAAAATACCGTATACCATCAAGTCTCAATAAAGTAAAGATTGCAGACTCCAAAATGTAAACACGATCACCCTTGTATAATAAAACCTTTATAAATCATTATTAAATTAACCTTACCGTGACTTTTCCGGTGTAAATCAATAGAAAATAGAATTATCTCCTAGATGCAATCAGAATAAACATTTATACATCTCATTGTAATATGAAAATCAACATTTAATTAAAACCGAAAGTAAATTTTGCGTTCTGTCCAACCAATACGAGACGTGAGCCCGGCTCTGCGTGGAGCGCTTGTCAAGCCGGTATCCAAACGGTGTACATGCTTTCGACTAGATATCTACTCGAGCATTATATCCTCGTGTCCCGCGTATTAGCTGTCTGCAAACGCTTGTTTAAAAGACATTTATTTGTAATTAAACTATTACCAAGATGCACAGTGTGTTGTTTCCCAAGTTTTATTTTAATTCTATATAATGCACAATTTAAATATTTGAATTTGGACATGAGGATATAATGCTCGAGTAGATATCTAGTCGAAAGCAAGTACACCGTTTGTATACTAGCTTGACATGCGCTCAACGCAGAGCCGAGAACACTTCTCTAATTGCTTGGACAGAACGCAAAATTTACTTTCGATTTGAATTAAATGTTGATTTTCATATTAAAATGTGATGTATAAATGTTTATTCTGATTGCATCTAGGAGATAATTCAATATTCTATTGATTTACACCGGAAAAGTCAAGGTAAGGTTTATTTAATAATGATTTATAAGGTTTTATTAGTTTTGGAAATTCGTGTTTACATTTTAGAGTCTGCAATCTTTACTTTATTGAGACTTGATGGTATGCGGTATTTTTTTATATATGTAAAAATTGTTTTGAAAACCAGTTTTATCGTTGTAACAGATGTACAATTCGTGTTTAAATATTAAAATAGTTTTGGTAGAGTGTTTACAGGGGCGTATCACGTGGGGGGGGGCAGGATCTGACCTCCAAGCGTCTGTGGTATACTGTGCTCCTCTTAGTTCACGGTACTTAACACTTTAAAACAGTAAAGAACACAAACAATAAACTTACACTACAAAAACTGTCATAAACTGTATCATTTAGTCATTTTTCTGCTATATGACACAAGGAAACAACAATATATTCAATCAAAATTAGTTTTAATTTGTCAGATGTAGACCGTGTGTCGGCCATTTTGAAAACAGTATGTCATCATTTAACTCGCGGTAATGGTGTTTTATTTCAGTTTTTTCATGTTTCAGTTAAAATTTCTTTATGTTATTTTGCATAATTTTAAATATTAAAAGTATCTTTACATTGTAACTCAAAATTTATTTTTTCAACAAACAAGAACATTTAGAAAATGATGATTGTTTCAGACGTATGCACAAATTTAATGGACTATTGTTGTTTTTTGCAGAAGTTTGTAAAATGTTGTTCAGTTTTACGTAAAAATCTATAGATTTAAATTATTTTGCACAAAAACTTTGTTGTTAAGGTGTTTGAATAAAATATGTCAATTCTGACCAATTTTAACACTGGTAACATGAAAATATGCCATTACCGTGAGATAAGTGATGACGCGGAATTAGTGATGTTGAGTATACTTATCAGGGCTCGAGCTAGTGGGCGATTCGGGCGAAATAGTCGCCGAATTCCGTCTGACTTCGCCGACATCCTACATGAAAGCGAAGATGAAGTCGCCCGAATTTATTGATCCATTATTGTAAATTACCAACAATAACTGTGAATAACATGTGGTGTGTGTTTGCTTTGATTACCCTCGCCACCGGAAAAGGGGACTGTCATGCATCTCAAGCAACGCAAAATGTCATTAATCCGTTTGTTTACCAACATGTCATAAAAGTCTAATTAACAGACACTCGAGGAACAATTAGACTCCGCCCACGGCGAGATTACCGATACGTGCGAGAAACCAATCGTAATTCACGTTTTAATCGAGGCGACATTATTAAACCAATCGTTAAAGCGCTAACATACAACTACCCGTAACAATTATTTATGATGGACGGATCAAACGTCAATTAAATTTTCACTATCGAATGATTGTCAGAATTAAGAGGACCGCTTGACATATAACTGTAACGGTAATTTTAAATTAAAGTTATGATAACCTTTTTTGTCAACGAGTTAAATTTGATAAAATTGACGGCGTATTACACCGTATTTATTGCCAATGAAGTAAAATTAAAGATCGTTTCTTTTTTTATCTACTTTCATATTCTTTACAACTTAAGTGAATATGAATATAATGTCCGACGCAAGCTTTTTAATAGTAAATCAGAAAGGAATAACTGTTAATCCACCCATGATATGATCCATGATAGGAATCAACTATGGCTTTTTATCTTCATTTAATGCAATGGTTGCATTACATGATACTCATTCTTATTACTTGTTTCAAACTACTTTTAAATTAAAATTGAATATTCTGTTGTAACACAAATCCAATTCATTTAATAAGATATGTACAGTGAGTCAACATAATTGCGATAACATACAACAAACATCGATAAATGAATCTCCTCACTTCTCCCTAAAGTCTCCCCACTTCTCCCTAAAGCAGCTGGAGGGAGAAGTGACTTCTCCCTAAATTTTGAACCTAGCTTGAGCCCTGCTTATTAATTAAAAATAAAATATAAATATCAATCTATTTCGCTCATCGGCCATACTGGTTAAGTAAAGCGTGTTACAGATTGATTCCAATTTTTTGAACGGAAAAATATTTTCGAACACACTGACGGTGCATCGGCAATTATTTTGTTGGAAAAATATTCTGTTAGAAACTTCTGGAGTCATTTAAACGCTTGCATTTGAATTAGCCAATCAGATTTCGCGCACTGTATGGCGGCCATTTGTATATCTGCTGTACATGGAATTTAATTAAATGAGAGGATTTAATCATGACTTTTCGGGTGTGACAGTTCAATTATTTTGTTGAAAGGTATTTAATTTTTAGTTTTGTTCATAAATAGTTCAAAATTTATGTATATACACGCTGTTTTAATTGTTAAAATGCATTAGATCTAAATCGATGTCTAATGTCATTTTTTTTTGCTACACGATTTTGCAAAGATCTTTTAAGACCTAACGTAACATGGATAATGAAAAATGTAAAGTATCAGATTAATGAATGATAAATATGAAATAGGTTACGTATAGGTCTTATAATTAGGACTACAAGGCTTCTAAAACTTTATGAGCCACTTTTTAACATTTTTGTTTTTTATCTGATGTGGCATTAAAGATTAGACCCATTACCAAACCTTACCAGAATAACATTTGTTGATTTAAACTTAATACTTATTTTTCATTTGCAAATACCCTTATCCCAAATACACCCATAAACACTTTTCATATGAACTAGGTAAATAACCGAGGTATATCGAGTGAATAAATACGAGTTGTTTCCCTTATCTTCGAGTAAAATTGGTATCTCATACGCTAGAACAATACAAATTAAGCAATTTTTAAACGCTAGTTTGTTGTGATTAAATGTCCGATTTACAAATTATTACATCAATGGAAAGCTTGGGATCTTAGCTTTGTCACAGTATATAATTTTACATATCTTTTGACACCAAAGTATTTAAATTAACTGTTAAACCTACCATATGTCAGCCCATTTTACATACGATTTATGTGAGATACATAACCAGTTATCTGTACTCGAAAACCTACTGATAAGAAAAGCCTGTCGTCTGCTAGTTCAAGTAGTTGGGGAAAGTGTTTATCAGTGTATTAATCCTTGTGCAATTGATTCAGAGTCAACTCGTCCCCTGGTCAACTCGGCCTCTGGTCAACTCGTCACCTTTTTGGTCAACTCTTCCCTTGGACAACTCGTCCCCTGGTCAACTCGTCCCCAACTCGTCCCCTATATTTTATTATTATTTGTTTTTCATATATTCCATAAATTATTATAGATTGTTGAAATATATTATAAAATGACTGAATTGGACATATTTTGACGCTTTTTTTATGCGAATATTTGGAGTTTTTTTTATCTAATAATAAGTGTGTATATATATGCATAATTCTGATTAAATTACATACAGAAAAAAACAACACGAAGACGATCAATAGCAACAACATTTAATGTATAAAAACATGTTTCATATGCAATGATAAAATATCATATAGTCTGTCTTTTTTGTCAATATTATGTCATATATATTCACTTTCATTGTTTTTTGCATGCACATATTTCATTGTCTTTTTTTTTGACATCTTACAACTCTTGGGGTTTATATAAGTTCCCGAATTCTCTTAGAAGTCCCGTTGATGACAACTCCCCATTCCTGTACCTGTCCCACAGCTGCGTCTGTCCCTGGAGAAAGGTGTATTTTTTCCTCTGGTAGCGTCACTAACCAATTCAGAGTTCCTTATCGCTACCTGGGCCTCATCGTACAAAGGTCTAACCAAAAGGTAGAATGGAGGCGTTCCCCCAGCCCTCCCATTCAGTCTTCTATGCCATCCTATAAAATAATAGAAGAATATTACAATACCAATAAGATAGGCACTGGTCAACTATAATAGATATATTTATCTCTTTAATGCGGTGATGTAAGAATCCATAAAGGCATTTCTCAAATTCGCTACAATTTTGTCTAAAACATATTTTTTTATGTATGAGAAGTATGACTGCTACCGTGTATACAGTCTAAAAATCATAGAGTTGGACCTAATTTTAGTTTTAATTAACATTAAAAATCCGATTGATTAAACATTAATTGAATATTTGCAAACTTACCTGTCTTTGTAGTTTTACATCAAAGCTATGCACGTGCGCTTAGATAAAGATCATTAAAATTTACCTAAAAAAAGACGTTATTTTATTAATATTTCGATATCAATCAAATTCATTATTAGTTTTACATAAAAGAACTATTTAAAGACATTGGTTTACAACATAATAGTGACGAATAGATCGAAAGAAGGGGACGAGTTGACCATATTAGGGACGAGTTGACTCTTTGAGGACGAGTTGACCGAAAGTAGGGGACGAGTTGACCAAAAAGGTGACGAGTTGACCAGAGGACGAGTTGATCAGGGGACGAGTTGACCGGATTGCGTGCATTTTGGGACATGACAATTATTTTAATATCTTTCTACCATTTAAAGTATCAAAATATTATTACCGTCATTAAAACTGCCTATTTACCTGTGAAACATCAGTTATCAGGGTTCTCACTAGGACTTTAAAACATGGAGTCCATGGACTCCCAACCCTGAAAAAGTTGGAGTCCAAAAGCGCGTCGCAATTAATATGTTTACAGATTAGTCATTCAATGCTCACAATAGCATTGCTGATATTTTGAATCTTCAAGAGACTTCCAAAGTTTATAGTTATTCAAAAGAAACTCTGAACTACATAGTATAATTATTGTTTTGTTGTTGATATTTATTATGAAATTATTTCATTATAATGCATCAACACATGGAAATCGTTTTTTTTTTTTTCACTTTTATACCAAATCAAATTTTATTCTGGTTAAATAAGTCCACTCTAAAGACAAAAAGTTTATATTTGTAAAAAAAAAAACGTAAATGTATATAGGCAGCGTTTAGCGGAATGAATAGGAAAATCGTGTACAGCTTCAAACAGTGTGTAAGAGATTCATCCGATCGACAATTATTTTAGCAAATATCTTCACAAAGGGGGCATGAGTCATTTTCAGGATAGATATTTAAACTTCATTAGCAATGGAAACGAAAGCGTATGTAGGTATTTTGGTGTGCATGTTTGTCAATTTGGCATTTCGACACAATATCTTAAATTCTTAATAGTCTTATCGAAAGTTTTTGCAAGAATAAAACTAAAGCAAAATTGTGCCTAGAAAATGCCGAAAATATTTGACAATCATTCAAAATTACATTCCTTTGTAATTTGAGAAAACAGTCTTTAAACTTGCGACGTAAATAGTCTATAATTTTATCCTTTTGTCGGTAAAATTTGCTAATTACCAATCAACTGTTGATCAAAGCAGTGTTGCATCTAGAATTTCAAAATTATGGGGGATTGTCCCCCACTTAATTGAAAAATGTGGGGGATTTGAAAAAGATGTGGGGGACATACATTGACCTTACAATATGACATACAGAATAGAGTTCATTTATTTTACATTCAGGCGTTTTTGACAGCTATCTATAAGTAGAAAAAATAAAATATTGACGAATACTACATTTCACATGCGAGATGACTTAGTCGGCTGCTACACGTGATTTAGTACGTATTTTAGTCATAACCATGAGTGAAAACAAACATGGCTGAAGCGTTTAAGATACGATGAAGATAAACTGAATTAAGTTGAAAAGAGTGTCAGATGCGTGACTTGGCGCGCACTGACTTCAATAAAATGCGCAAAGCGCGCAACCGCGCGGCCTAGATGCAACACTGTCAAAGATATAAAATTATCACCTCGTGTTATATCTGGTAATTACATGTACTGTACAGCGCGTGTATACATTAGTTTGATCACTATTGCGTGATAATGATCGTAAACGTTATCGCTGATTGGCTAATCGCTTCACGGGTCGATGTGCATAGGACCGCCTACCTATAGAATGACACGCGCTGACGCATTTGTGTATTTCTGGTTGTAAACAATCGGTAATGTTTTTGGTCCCCAGGCAAAATTAAGCGTACGTGGAATCCTTGCTCTGAAATATTTGCGTCCAGCTGTAATAAACATGCGTACCGGGACACCGAAATAAGCATACCCGAGCTCTGGTTATACCGACTTCTGGCGGCCAGACATTTAGAAGCTAAGTGAGACCTCGTATGACGTAATTCGCAGGAACTGATTAGAGTCGTGTACTATATTTAGAACATCTTTGTTGACATGATTTCAATGTTTGTAATTCAAGATAATTTTGTTTTTTGTTTTTTTTTATTTTCTTTAATGTTTTAGCAGGGCGTCCGTGGCCGAGTGGTTAAGGTCATCGACTTCAAACCACTTGCCCCTCACCGCTGTGGATTCAAATACCGACAGAGACTTTGGATTCTTTCATGTGAGGAAGCTATCCAGCTAGCTTATGGATTGTCCGTGGTTCTACTCGGGTGCCCTTTCGTGCCTGAAATTATGCACGGAAGGGCACCCGAGGTCTTCCTCCACCAGTAAAGCTGGAACGACGCGATATGACCTATACTGTGCAGAGATCGGGAAAGAATTTTTGCAGATGAGACTATGTCTCCACCAGTTGGAAAACTTATGAGACATTTATAAAAGTTATGAGACATTGTTCAAAACTAATGAGACATGTTTTTCTTAATGATTATAAAGTACGGATAAAGGTCTGAAATGTGTATTTTGACTTCTCCATGACAAGTAAAATGTATGATTATTCTGTCAGTGCAACTATAAATAGTTGCACATTTTTTATTCTGTGTATAAAGTTTGAAGTTACCAAACATGATTTTAAACACAAAAAGGTTTGGATTATTTTTGTTAAGGAAGGAAGATACTAAAAAAATTAATGAACTTTTTAATCTAATTTTTTTTGGACTGACGGGTTTTGAATGTGTCTGACAGAAACGGCAAACAATGGAAGAATGGGAGCTAATGCTTTAATAACTACAAATGCATGGAAAATCTAAACTTTTGAAAATCATTTTGGACATTTAAAAACTGACTGCCTTGCTTTCCTAATCGACAGAATATTAATAATATTTCAAACAGAAAAGCATAAGAAATTGACGGTGCTAACTCTGACATAGCTACTGTACCATGTGGTGTTGGCAGATAACTGGCTTAAACTGGTTTAATGCAGATAATTAGTCCTGCCTACTGTACCTGTAGGCGGAGCAAAGAAATTTGTCACTTTGAAATTTATTTGATGCCGCTAATTGATTGACAAACAGTAAGACTTTCATGCTTTCGCTGAATTTTTCTTGCAGGTCAAATTTGCATTTTAGAAATTACTTGTCTCGTCATTGTTTATTCATGCAACTTAATGTCGTATCTGCAGGCTAATCAATGCGACTAAAATCATTTTAATGCGACTATGTCGCAGGTCGCGGGACTTTCCCGATCTCTGACTGTGTCGATGTGACATAAAGCCCAAAACAAACAAAAAAAAAAATTTTTGTGTACTTAAATGAAATTATAATGAATACAAAAGTCAGTAAATCACCTTTTTCAATAAATTTAAAAATAAAAAAGTAATTTATAAAAAAGTTGGAAGCACATGGGTTCAGTTTTCTTAACGGTCCACACAAATTAACCAGTAATGGGCAATGATTGAATCTTGTAATCACATGGTCAAACCAGGGCCTTTTTTTGCTTCTGTAACAGGAGCCGATATAAGGCCCCTTCACAATTTAAAATTGCACTTTTTTTTCACAAAGTGGCAGAAAAAAATTCACAATTTCAAGAGAGATTTCACAAAATGTTGGGACTTTGTCTTTGAAAGACATTGTTTACTTTCCGTGAAAGACATTGTTTATTTTCCGGTAAAACTTGATTTACGCCAATTGCAATTATACAGAAATAGTTTTAATGAAGTTTAAATGGTTTTTGTGACTGTTAACCAGGTAAATGTACTGACTTGAAGCAGATTTAACACAGGTCAGAAATTATAATCAACCGTTTCCGGTGAAAGTGTTCTTTTGATAATTTCAGGGTATTTGGATCACTTGAGGCAGCCAGATGACTATGTGTATGGACTAATTGTCCCTGTGTACAAATTCTCAGGAGTTTCAGGTATATAAAGTTCCAATCTTCTGATAATTAATTACCTTAGTTGTATTTTATATATGTGTGTGTAATCAGCCAGATAAAAAAAAACCTGTAGTCAGGCCAGTTTTAAAAAGTTAGTTAGCAGACAGACCATATTTGCTGTAATAAGCACCTCTGCTTTGGAAAATAGCAGAACCTTCAGGAAGTTAAGTAACAGCTGCTTGTGAGAAGCTTTTTCTATGCTTAAGGCTAAGCTGAAATTTTATATCTTAATTTTGCACAGTGCTTTCTCTTGCCTGTTTGCACCTGTTTCAAAGGTCTTACTTAAAAACAATTTTGCTTGTTTTACTGTATACATGTAATTAAAGAAAGGCGTTTTTTTTTTTCACATTTGAGTATGACTTTATTGAAAGTGCTTATTAAGGCAGATATGGTAGATTTAGACAATTTTAATTCATCCACATTAATTGTAATGAAATATTCAGTAATTAAGCTTAAATTATTATATTCTGAGACCATTGGTGTTTTTTTTTTCATTAAGAAAATTGATCATTTAATGGAGCAAAAAAAGTTATTATTCTTTTAAATATTGGAAAGTCCAGATCTGTATGTTCATGTTACTTTATTCTTTATATTGTTTCTCAGGCAACAAAACAGACAGCTACATGTAGCTAATTTTGCTGAGACTTTTTATTTGGCGTTTTAAACCATGACATGTTATAAAGATGGGTTTTTTTTCTTACTTTCAGTCATAGAATTTAGCACTGGCCCAGTGGCCCATTAGTTCTGGCCAGTGTAAATTTTAAGAAAATTTAGTTAAATATACAGAAGAATAAATTCAAAACTGGGATTCAGGCCAGTAAAGTCAAAATCTTAAATTCAATGACTGTACCAGCTTCTCTACATAGAGCGCTGTACTGTATTATTATTGGTCAAGGAATATAGTGATTAAATAGTAGATATCATATGTAATGTAGATGAATATATTGATTTGTAGATGGAAAAGCATAGCATCATTTACCATAATTTGTATTGTTCTTTAATATCATATTAAGAAAAGTTAGGCACTTTTCTGCTCATGAGGGAAATTTATTGCAACATGTACCCTCAAGAATATAATTGTTATTTTTATGCTTAGTATTCTATTTTCTGTTGATTAGCACCATTTATAATCAAGAACTTCTTTTTTATGATTTTGATATCTATATTGATATATTTTGATGATTATTATTCTTTATTTTTTTATGTACACAACATAGTTAACATTTACTTTAAATAGTGGATATTGTGAATTCCTTTTCAATCAGTGTTGGCAGTCTAGTCATTTTCTGTTTGATAGTGAAGCATTAGTACTATAGCTGTATGGATGTCCATTGATTTTAAGTTTTGTATTGGCTTAAAATGTATTTACTTTAATTGTGGGACAAAGGCATTGATTAATTGATTATTGTTGGAAACTGTAAAAATAAGTGAAGCATTCATTGTTAAATTAAATACTGTAGGAAACTATTTTGTCTGTTTTTCTAGCAAGAATCGGGTGTAATCCCAAACTTTGCAAATGTGGGTTTTATGTCCCTGTCCAATCCCAGGGTACAAACAAAGTTAGTGCATTGTTAAACTTTAACAGTACAAGTTTGATTATCAAAAAAAAGCACATTTGCTGAGTTCCAGATAACCTATTTTACAAGCATTGTCTGGATAAATGTTTATATTAAGTTATTGATGTTTTTTCATGAAGACTGGTCTGCCATTTTATGTGTGAACTGTTCAAGAAAATAAATTAGTCATGGTTGAAAAATAAAGTATTAATGCAGACAGTTAAAATATGAAAAATAATCTATGGAAAGAAAAGCACTGATCATATGTTTTTACGTTATTATCATGTTTAATTAACAGTTTAAATGCTTGTAGCCATAATAGTTTTTCCTTATTCCTTCCATACATGTAGGTCAGGCACTTCCTTATTTGAGCCGCGTCACGACAAAACCAACAATGGGTTTGCGACCAGCATGGATCCAGACCAGCCTGCGCATCCGCGCAGTCTAATCAGGATCCATGCTGTTCGCTATCAGTTTCTCTACTTGTTATAGGGTTTGTAATCGAACAGCATGGATCCAGATCAGACTGCACGGATGCGCAGGCTTGACTGGATCCATGCTGGTCGCAAACCCATTATGTTGGTTTTGTCGTGACACAGCTCAGTATTTTAATACTGTAAGTCTGTTATCAATTACTCGAGTTCTCTTATAATTTTGACATCAAAATTAGTGTTATAAACTAATATTAAAGAAGTTGGACACAGATTTACCAAAAGTATAGATATTATCATACATATTCTTTATAATTCATATAATACTCTCTTCAGAACCAATACTAATACATACATATACCTGTACAAATTGATTAAATTAACCCTTTGGCTTCTTATAGACAGTGTTGACTTACCTATACAACCAGTGAACTGATAGAGCAAATTATTAGTGTCAGCACTGTAATCAATAAATCCTCTCTGAATAGGGTTATTTTACGATCATAATTATAACAAATACAATTAATAACAATACCTATAAAATTTAAGAACAATGTTGGTTGCTTAGTAATCAAGTTATATTCTTTTTTTCACTGTTTATCCAATGACTTTATGCTTATAATAGATTGTATAGTTTTGTTAAGGACTTGAAGTCCTTTAAACCATTCTAAGAGAGAATCTTTTTGGGAGTGGGATTGTGGTGACAAGGGGTTACGAAAATATTAGTTTTCAACATTAATTTAAAAGCAACCTGTGTAAAGCAAAAACTGTCATTACTTGTTTTTAAAGTTGCATAGAGAAGCATCAGTATTGCATTTATTAGCCTTCAACATCTTCATTGCTGTTCATTATTTATCAGACTACCAATTCCTGGCTTTACCTCACCAGAGGAAGGTAGTCTAGTACTGGTGTAACTCTCCAGGAACGATGGTTGGGAAACTACCTGCCTATATGACTGAAATACTGTTGGGGGGGAAAAGGCGTAAAATGAAACTAACAAACAAACAAACCTCACCAGAGCCACTCCTTAAACCATCAACCTTTCATTCAAATATAACAAATTTTCTAATCTCAACCATGATGTTTAAGATTATACAAGTACATGTAATGTATAAACCATAGCCTAAAGCCCTCTGTCCTTTAACTAGTTCATTAAAATTAAAACGGACTGAAGACTCTGTTATGTCCATCTATAGAATAGTTTATAGTTAGTATATTAACACAAATTTGACAGTGTTACATCGAGACCATTGCCTGTAAGGAGACAATAATATAAGAGTATTACCTCTAAACGGACATAATTATGATATTTAGGTTTTAACAAATATATATCAGTGAAATGTTATAGTACATGATCCTACATACATGTCATGCCTGAGTAGTAAAAATAAATTATTTATAACTTAATTCTATTTAAAGTGTGCAGTATTTACGAGGAGTGAAATAACTTTATCAGATCGGTCTTCATGAAAATTCAGGATAAACTTTTTATATCAATTTTACTTGAGGATTTTAATAACCAAACAGTGAAATAATTGAAAAGGTATCAGACCACTAAAACATACAAAGTTGTTTTTATGCTGGTGATTTTGTATTTATCTACAAACAGGCCTGGGTCTATCTGTTTTGAACAAATTTTCTGCTGCATTTATTAATTTATTTTTCACATATCACAGAATATAGCCTGACTACCAATGCTTTGGATTATCTATTGCCAAAAGCACTTACACACTGAGGCTTGCGTTCTATACAATATAATGCATTGTTGCTTTGAAATCATTAATATTTATGAGTGATAAAATTTTCCGTATTACATCATGGATACAGTCTACATGTTGTATGCAAATGAGAATGTTAATTTAAGTTGAATCATAATGAAATCTACGCATGTATTGCTATTAACTCAAAGGAATTTGTAATTATGAAATGAAAGAATACATTCAAAAATATAAATGATTTCATAGTTGTTTTAAAATATAGATAATTTCATATTGTATTTTTTTTTCTTATTTTCTTTTAGTACAGTAGCTTGATATGAGATTATGATTGTAAATATATAATTGAAACAATGCAAATATATAATTTTACTTTTATTTTATTTTAAGTAATTAGCATGGGTGAGTGACGAGAGTTCAGACTGGATCACCTTCCGTAAACATTATAAAAACAAAAACAGAACAGAATTGTTCTGGATGGCTGTTTTTTTCTTGCACTTTATGCAATTTTTTTGCCTGTAGATGTAGCTTAACTGTTGCTGTTGTTGCTCTGATATGCTGTCAATATTACTGTCTTACTGTCGACAGTAACCAATTATAACATGCCCATTAATGTAATTAAACAACACACCTGATTATAATTAAATAAATGTGTTTTTCACTTAATACAAGTGTACAATTTTTGAAATTTTGAAATTTTTATGTATTTGTTTCTGTGAACCCAACATGTGTCCATTTTACCTTTGTTTAGCTAAAAACAATCAAGTTTCTTTTATATTTTAACAAAATAACAGTTACGTGCTGTAATGATGATTTGAAAATTTCTAATTAAGTAATTAAATACTAATTGCAAAGAGACAGTGATAATGTAACAGTATCAAATGTAAAATATCTTGGTTTTTAGGGCTCTTTTCATGCAGCTTATATACATATATTGAATTATTGTGGGGATATTAAGGCTGTGTGTAGTATCAAGGAATACATATTTATTTATATTAACTATAAATCGTTATACATTGTATTTAAAATTTGGAGGTAAAGCTTATGCTTCTAAGTTGTAGAACAAATTGAGAAGTAAGAATAAGAAGCTGTATTAAATTGCAAAGTTACTGTAAAGTAAAGGTAGTTTACATAGATTCCTGATTTGTTTGTAGTGTCCTACCGTTATTACAACCCCTTAGTGTTTTCTACCCACTTCCAATCGCCCCCCTATCTTGTTTACTGTTAATGTTGGAGGTATAGTTGATTAATATGGCTATCTTTCTTACTACAACTCATTTTGTTCCTACAATTTATTTTGAAAAGAGCCCAGGAAATTAGGTGTATTAGTCAAGAAAAATGTAAATGTCTTGTTGTATTTTCTGTTTTGTTGTAAAAGCAAATTTCTTTTATTGAGAGAATGTTTTAGATGAATTTCTAAGAGCAATTCTTGGTTACATGTGTGCCTTTTGCCAACTATCTGTCTCAACTGGGATGGAAAATGCTTGTAAAAGTTTTACATACCTAATTAAATGTTTAATGGAATGTTAAACATAGGAAAGTTTTGCAAGAGGTAAAAAAAAAGAAATCTGCTTTTGCAACTTTAGTGCCTGTATATATAAGTTTTTTGAATGTCGGATTATTTATGAAGATTTGTTTTTTTTTCTTTTGATTGTTATTAATTTATAGTATTCAAGAAAGGTAAGTGTAAGAATATTGCAACATTGATTACAATAGTTCAGGTAAGTACAAATGCAAGGCTCCCTTCTGAAGTCCAATAGTATTGGTATTAAAAAATGTACACTTTTCCCGCAATTGGTTCAGTACATTGAACATTCTGGCAATGTATATCTGGACAGCTTATTTTGAGGTTTATTACTCACTTAGTTGGTGAATAATAAACTTCATATGTTTGAGTTTGAAGTCTGGCTTGTCAACCAAGTAAACAAAGTACATACAATTTTTTTTGGTGTTTAAATATATTCATTTTACAAAACATTGAAAAGGTTTTGGTTCAACTATTAAAACACCAGTAATTGAAACTAAGAATGTATGTATTATCTTGATTGTATAGCCTGTTTTTATGCTTGTTACTTGCCATTCTTCATTGTTAATAAAGATTCTTGAATTCTTTATTGCATTTTGTAGTGTAACATTTACATTTTGTAGACCCCACCCAATGAATTGATGCTTAAATAAACTGACCATTGTTTTTTCTTACAGTTGTATTAAAATGCAAACAATATGATCTGATAGGATAGAATCATAAATATATATCTAGAATTATTCAGTAGTAGACACTTGGTTTCTTCCAAATAATCTTCAACTTATCAATTTATAATTCAAATAGGTCATGCTAGTCCAGTCATTTCTCAAAGCAATTCAAAAATTAAAATTTAATGCCTTGGCATTAATTAAGGTTCTAATAGATTTTTGTGGCAGCCACAGCTATTGTTGTAACAATAGTAAGTTAAAATCCAGTTGTGATTCTAAAATATAATTTCAAACTACTATTAAGTTTTTATATATACGTATATAATATATGTACAAATGTATATTTTTGTAATGGGGAATGGCAAGTGACTTTAGAACTTCATTATTTTTCATTGTTTAACAAGTAGTTTGATTTTTCTAAGATTAATATTTTTGGAATCATAAGATTCTGTCAGAAATATTTGAAAACCCTAAACTTCTGAACAATATAAATGTACGTTACATCTTTCAACTTTCTGTTAATAAATTCTTAGGAGCACTTATGAATTGTAGGTTTGAAGCATTCACGTACATGAATGTACTTGTACCTTTTTAAATCATGAAATTTAAAGTACATGTATTGTAAAGGTTAATAAAGATAATTCTTAGTTATATTCATTGAGTATTTAAATAATAGAATAACAAAAATGTTAATATCATTTTTACAAGCCAAAGGATTAAACTGTTGACATTTGTTTTCATAACTTTGCTTCTTATTGCAAATTTGAATGAAACATTATAGGATTGACCAGTTCTAAATCATAGATGGGGTCGCAGTAATTTTTCTCTTGAAATAGGCCCTCAAAGATTCATTATTTGGCCAATCATATAAACACCTTTAATATTAAAAAAACCAAAGTATCACATGCTGGTTTTTTTTTGCATTCTTTTACGCTTTGCTAAAAAATCTGATCACTGTTCTAGCTTTTTGACTGACGATAATGTTTGTGTGTGGCTAACCTTGCCTTAAAGCTTTGAATATTAAATTTGGGGCGTTGAAATTTGCGCTATGTTAAAAAAAAGATAGCAAAATAAGCTTACATGTATTATACATAGGTTTTGCCTGATTACAAGGATATGTGGTTGGTGAAACAGGATCTTCAGCAATATTTTCTTCTTACTTTAATAAAGTTTCCCATTTCACTCATGTAGGTTTTTTACTGCCATAACATTAATTTAAATGTCTCCTCATTACAAACAAATTTTTTTGGTGATTTCATTTAAGTCAATACATAAAGTGTCCAAAATATTTCTCCTTAAATTTTAATTTTTATTTACTTATTCATTGTTTCTAAACAGTATTTTTCGTCATTCAGCTGGTATCATTTGTGGATGAACATTTTGTGGCATAAGTTGTACAAGTTTGCAGTTTGTAGTTGAAAATAAGAGGATACTGTACAAATCAGTCTGACCTATATTTTTATCTGTGTTTATGCATATTGATTTTATGTGTTTTAATCAAAAATAGAATCAGCTACATACTAATGTTCAAATCATGGTGCACATTTTAAAAAGTGGTTGTGTAAACCTCAAGAAATCTTAAATTATGAAGAACTTTTGGCTGATATAATGTTTACAGATTAAATATTTCAAAATGTTTATCCACAGATGATAAAGTTTTATGGACATTTTCTTGTTATAAGTCATTATGTTTCATAATTGTAGATGTTCTTCTTGGTGTTTTAACTCTATATTGCACCTTAGCCTGTTTACAATGCACGGTTTATTGAAATCTTTGCATATTTCCATCTGTGTTTTCATCAAAAGCATCTTTTTTTTTCACCAGATTCGTAATATATATTTCTGTTTACTTATGCTTTGCGTGAACTTTTTACAATTTCTGCATATCAAAGGATGTGTAGGTAAAACAAAAATAGATTGAGACATAAGTATTGTATTGAAATAGGCTATGATAATTGTTGTGACAAAGAATGGTTTAGTTTCATTTTGTTCACATTTTGATCCGTCAATTTGCGCTTTTATTTTACAGAGGTGTTTACTGCTCTGCACATGTATATATAAATACAAAAATGCTTGTTTTTTTTTAAACAATTGTTCAGATATATAGCATTATTTTATCTATCAGTTTCTGCTTTCTATTTTCCAAATCGGCTGTGCTTTTTAGCTCGACTTTTCTATGAAAAGGGGAGCTATCCTACTCGCCCCGGCGTCGGCGTTAGCGTTAGCGTTGGCGTCACACCTTGGTTAAGTTTTTCGTACCACCCCACTTTATTTCAGAAGTATTACAAGTATGGCTTTGAAACTTACCATACTTGTTCACCATCATAACCTCCATCTACAGACAAGAGTACATAACTCTGTCAAGGTTTTTGACAGAATTATGGCCCTTTTTTGACTTAGAAAGTGTATTGAGCTTGGTTAAGTTTTTTGTACCACCTCACTTTATTTCAAAACCATTGGAGGTATTGCTTTGAAACTGACCATACTTGTTTACCATCACGACCTTCATCAACAGACAAGAGGACATAACTCTGTCAAGGTTTTTGACAGAATTATGCCCCTTTTTGACTTAGAAAATACATTGAATATGGGTAAAATCCACTTATTGCCTTAACCCTTTGAGATATTGCTTTGAAACTTTTAATGCTATTTCACATCATTACCCCATCTGTACGCAAGAGAAGGTAACTCTGTCAAGGATTTGTTTTAAAAATTAAGGCCTTTTATCGACTTAGAATCTTGGTTAAGTTTTTTGTACCACCTCACTTTATTTCAAAACCATTGGAGGTATTGCTTTGAAACTGACCATACTTGTTTACCATCACGACCTTCATCAACAGACAAGAGGACATAACTCTGTCAAGGTTTTTTGACAGAATTATGCCCCTTTTTGACTTAGAAAATACATTGAATATGGGTAAAATCCACTTATTGCCTTAACCCTTTGAGATATTGCTTTGAAACTTTTAATGCTATTTCACATCATTACCCCATCTGTACGCAAGAGAAGGTAACTCTGTCAAGGATTTGTTTTAAAAATTAAGGCCTTTTATCGACTTAGAATCTTGGTTAAGTTTTTAGTACCAGTCCACTTTTTGACTGAACTGTTTGAGATATTAATTTGAAAGTTGGAATACTTGTTTACAATCATGATTCCCAAACATGTCCAGGAGAAGGTAATTCTGTCAAAGATTTTATTTGAATTATGGCCCTTAACTGTCAATGTTTTGTATTATAGGCAAGCACTAAAAAAGTCGAGCGCGCTGTCTTACGGACAGCTCTTGTTTTAATTCTCTTTGCTGCTGACAGAAATATAGGATATTTTCACTTACAGCAAGTTTTTATACTAGTTCTATGTTTAAATTTATTGCCCTAAATTTTATGGCCAAAAATAGCTTTTATGACTAGTATAATTTTGAGAATGATATATGGCCAGGTGGTGTATACTATCCCTTAATATAGAAATGTAAGGCAATAAAAGTGACTTTTTGAGGCTAAATAAGGCTTGAACATTCCTTATTGAGGCATAAATCTTGAGCTGGTTCAATTTTAGTCAAGATTGAGTTTACATGTATTTTATAATGCTCAAACCTTAAACTGTATGAACTTGTCAAAAATGTGATTTTTTACTTAGTCTGTTTCCATTTTAACTTAACATGTATCTTAACAGGTTATTTTATCAAATTAAGTTCGGAACTTTATCAGTTTTAACAGAAAAGAGCCTAGTAAAACTGCAATCATGTTTTGTTTTAGGATTTAAAGTTACAGTTTAGCATCATTGACATCATTGAGGGGTTTGGGGTTGTTTTTTTTTTTTTAAAAGAGAAAAACACTTCAAGTTTCATTGTTTATCAGTATTTCAATGAGCTTTGTATGCCATTGAAAAAAGCAAAAAATGCTAGGTTATCATTTGTTTTGTTTGAATTCTGATATGTTCACACTTAACTCAGCATTGAGCACTATCATGATGTAAGCAGCAATAATATTTGCCTATATGTCACCATCAACTATGGAATTAGGTCAATGATCGGCCAAGTTTAATTTTTTGCATTTTTATGTAAAAATGTCATAACAGCATGTCATTTGAACTAGCGGACAAGTCCACTACACAATCAAGAGTATATGGGTCACCTTGGTATTTGATACAGGCCGATAGATTAAAGAAAAAGACTGAAAACTGTATCTTTTTGTGACAATGAAGAGATAGGATATAGTTGATATAAGAGCTGTAGGGGGTTCTTTAGATAAAATGTTGTTATTTGGCTTAGACCTTCTCATTAAAATTTTAAAAAGTTAACATTTTAGAAGATGTGTACAGTGGTTATATGAGGAGGAAAAAGTTGTAATTCACTCAAAATTGATTCACTCAAGATTGAATGGTTTGAGTTACGTAAAAGCCCTTGCCACTGGTATAATCCTAGAGAAGCCACAGATGATGTCTTCCTTGATGTCTTACTGTTAAACAAGACTTTTATCAATTTTCTTCTTGAAATCCTCAGTATCTACCATGGAGAATTCAAACTGAAAAAGTTTAATTTTAAAAATTTGAAAATTGAGTTGTGTAAAAGATGAATAGCACTGGGATATCCATCTTCAATATTAGTATGAAAGTAACCTTATGACCTAAATTACGTTTGTACAAAGCACATTAATTAACTATAATTTGCAGTTTCATTCATAGAAACTGTGAATGTCATGAAGGAAATTGAGCAGTCAGTATTAAAGTGAGATATGACATGTAATTCAACAGAAGAGTGCGGAAGCTGTCAAGACGAGGCCTACGTAGGACGTTAAATCTTGCCTTACATTGCCCTCTGGCTACATATTAACATTATAATAAGTTTACTAGGTGACATTGTCTTTCTCTCCCTGTGAACACGTTATTCTTAATGTCACCTTTCAAATGTTACAGTTTGACTACCGTTATGTAAGTCCAGGCCAAGCCAATAGGTAAACTTTGGTTCCTGCTAAGTGAAGAATTTTGTAATGATTTTAAGGTAAAATGCAATAAGTGTACCTCGATCAATTTGGCTTCTTTGTCTTGCAGAACAAGCTTTGGCTTTTTGTCATCACTCGCACAAACATTTGTATATTTGAAACATTTTATTATTTGGAATATTAATGCATGTTAAACATCACATCATGTTACAGGTCCATGGCACAACTATAAAGCGCATAATTTTTTGCAATTTTTTTTTGTTCAAGGAAGTAAGTTGTAATATATAAACTGTTCGGTGTAAGGAAATGTCATTATATGATCCCTGTTTATTTCCTGGTCTTGTAAATTATTATTCAAACAGGATTCTAGTCATAGATCAATTCCTTAATGAATATGACGAAAATCTGATCAGTTTAGAAAAGACCATACAAATTTAGCAAATTTTATAATCTCCAGAATGCCCTTTGTCCAAAAGTCTTATGGATTTGCCACTGAGCCTTTGATCAAAGTATCTTTGAAACAAGAAAAAGTTTCTCTTTTTTTTTTTGTAACAAATAATTTTTTTTTCAATGGCCTTTTGAATCTTAACATCATCTGTCATAGCTGAATGTGTGCTGTACATGTATATTACATCAATGTTTTGTTTGAGCACATTAGATGCAGTTTAGTTTTAGACTTTTAGTTTGATAAATGTTGGGCAATTGGGGAATGAACTATGTAAAAAATGTTTTGCTGTCTCTAACATGTCATATTTGTAAACTATATTTCATTTATTTTTTCCCCTTGTACAGTGTAGCTAAATACATAGCCTTTCTAAATGTATATTGACATTTTGATTATTTCTCTGTCAAAAATATACTGAGCACTAAATATGTAGTATATCTCTAAGTATTAAATGTATTAATGTATATGTGCATGCATTTATTTATAAGTTATTTAATAATAATGTCAATTAAAAGAAAAAAATTACAAAATATTTGGCTGTTAAAACGTTAATTTTTGTTTCTGTTTGTTTAAAGTTTTAAACAGCTTCTTAATTGAATTAATTCATATTTGAATAATCTGATCATGCTGATGAACAGAATAAGTCCATATTATGAATGAAGTTAGTATGCTAATAAGATAGACTTTCTGGTTAATTATTAATAAAAACGCTTTGTTTCTTTTACATGACTTGCGTAATTAATTAAGTTTCGAACATAATCATGTTCATTTAATTTCTTTTCTCATTAGAATATAATTATATGCTTTAGGAAAAGTAAATTTTGTCTAATATTTTGTACTTTGTAATAGTGTTTTAGTAATACTATACATGTATACATGTACATATGTACATAAATATATAAAATAATTATACAACACATAACACAGGGTAATACATGTATAACATTCAGGTTACCCTATCTAAAGTATTTAAAAAAAAATTCATAATGGTTGTTTGATTTTCCGTTTAATAAAGAGATTATAGTTTCATGAATGAGGTCACTGTATCTAAAGGCAAATAAGGTCAATGATTTATAAATCTCTTGCCCTTAACTGTTTTGGGCAAAGAATCATGGCATGAAACTTATATCATCTTAGGAAGATAATTATCATGTTATATCAGGGAAGATTTATGGATTTTGCTCATGTAACTATACTGTTTTTTGTTAAGAGATTATACAGGAAAATTTATCTCAAATATCCAAACTGATGTCAAATTCACTATTAAAACTTGTTGTTTAACTGCATATTGATAGTTTTAAAACACTGAAATGAGATTGATATTTGTATATTGTTTTTATTTTCAGTTGGCCCCTTAGCTGATGTGGATGCATTGACTAGTGAATTTAAGAGTCAGCATGATATTGTGGAAAAAGTCATTGCAGATTACACTGCTAAGCTTAGAAGTGCAGGGGTGAGTTGCTTTCCAATGAAAATTTTTCATGGCAATATTCTATAATCTGTTGATTGCAGAAGCATTGAGGCTGTAAGAATGTTTCTGTTTCCCATATAGAGCCTTTATACTTCTATATTAACAAATGCCATTAGATATGAGGTTTGTAGTTGAATATATTTGAAGCCAAAATTAATTTTTACTACTTTCTTCCAAAGTTTAACCTTGTTTTTGGTTATGTGGAAATATGTGTTGCTGTCATAAATATTATTGTTTAGAAGACAGGTAGTAATAACAATGGAGTGAAAGTGACAAGTTTGTAAACATTTTTTGTACAGCTTTTGTACAGTTCTGTACTGTGACAAAACCTCGCAATATTAAAATTTGACTTTCTTTTTTTTTTCAAAAGTATTATGACCCCACGTTAGTGGCGGGCATTTAGATTTACCCTTGTCCGTCCGTCCTTCCGTTCACTTTTGTGTCGCACGTAACTCAAAAAGTATTTGACCTAGAGTCATGAAACTTTACAGGAATGTTGATCAGCATGTGAAGTTGTGCACCTGGGTATTTTCGTCTGGATATTTTTAGTATTTTCAGAGTTATTGCCCTTGACTTAGTAAAATTTTGCAATTTTCAACTTGTGTCGCATGTAACTCAAAAAGTATTTGACCTAGAGTCATGAAACTTTTCAGGAATGTTGATTAGCATGTGTAGTTGTGCACCTGGGTATTTTTGTCTGGATATTTTTAGTATTTTCAGAGTTATTGCCCTTGACTTAGTAAAATTTTGCAATTTTCAACTTGTGTCGCATGTAACTCAAAAAGTATTTGACCTAGAGTCATGTAACTTTACAGGAATATTGATCAGCATGTGCAGTTGTGCACCAGGTATTTTTGTCTGGATTTATTTAGTATTTTTAGAGTTATTGCCCTTCACTTAGAAAATTTTTGCAATTTTCAACTTGTGTCGCAAGTTACTCAAAAAGGATTTGACATAGTCATTAAACCTTATGGGCAGGTTGCTCAGCATATTTAGATTTGCACCTGGGGTTTCGCTTGTGGATTTATCCAGTATTTGTAGAGTTATTTCCCTTGACTTGGTAAAAAGATTGACAGAACAGTGGCGCGGTGGGGGCACCCGTGTCCTATGGACACATTTCTTGTTATGGCTGTAGAGAGTTGAGTAAGTAGACTAAAACTAAATACCATCATGATCCCAGGTAGGGCGCTAAATCTGACAGGGTGAAAAAAATGTACAGTCTGATTTGGACTCAAGCCCAGGACCCGTGAAATAAAGTTTTTAACACTACACAACTATGCAGTTGTACATTTCTGTACTGTTGATGAGTTCATTATTTGAAGCTTTAAGATCTTTTTGTTCATTTCAGGTTAAAGGTCAGTTTGACGAGTATTGTGGCGAGTCACCAGAGACCACTATCCTGACACAGTGCGAGAAGCTGAATTGTGATAGTATCGTAATGGGTTCACGTGGGTTGAGTGGCTTTAAGAAGTTCCTCCTCGGTTCCTGCAGCAGCTACGTCCTCAATCACGCTCCGGTTCCGGTCTCTATCATTCCTCTCAAGCAATCAGATGAGGAACAGCAGAAGAAACAATAACGTAGTGGTCGTCGCTAAGAGCAATACACTAAGAAACGAAATAGAAATTTAGGAATAAATATTTCATTTGATCACTTTCACGTTCTTGTAGACTACAATGTATCAAGATTATTGATTTTATGGCATGGCTCTGTGGTTAGAAAACTGACTTTTGTAACCAGTCGGCCAGATATAAGCTTCTTGATCATTGGTTGAATGATAAATTTGATCTAGGTAACAAACAATAAGAATCAATGACTTTTGGAATATTATTTAAGTCAGTTTTGTCATCACAGGTCCTAGTCATCCTGAATCAAGGTGTAATGTTTAGTGTTTAATTAGAATGTTTAGCACATATAGAATTTCTAATATAGATTTTATTGTTTAAGATAACCATATTATACTATATCATCTAAGTTTTAATGTTTAATTTATTTTGAATTGATTATGAATGTTACGCAAGTTAAGTTTTTTTATACAAACTTACTGACAATTAAGAAAATTTCATTGTAAAAAATTGACTATTTTATTCGGTAAAAGTGAATCATTAAATTTAGAAGTTTATTAAATAATTGTAATGGTTAATGTAGTTTTGTTAAGTTACCACATCTTCATCGTTTTCATTAGTTCATAATTTGCCATAGAATCTCTGTAGTTTATGTAGACAGAAACAGTAATACGTTTCCATAGATATACGTTTCCATGTGGTTTTTTTTATAGGTAGAATTGTGTCACCATTTTATGTATTCTTTGCTTTTGTCATGGGTCCACGAAAAATTTCCTCAGCGATTTATTTAAGAAAAATGCTCATGTATCACTTTTGTTATATTTTTTTGTGCAATTTTAACATAAACATAAACAGAAAACTGGAAAAAATTCTCCTTTTGTCTGAATCTCAGTTGAGACATAATAATGTTAACTTTTATAGCTGGGCTGGAATTATACCAGAAAATAAACTCAAACCAATTATGTTTTACCGGTGTACTCCTTTTATAGCCTATCTTTATTTTTTGTATTCTTTTGTTTACTGTAATGATTTAGTAATTGAATTTACTGTATAAACTATTTTGGATGTTGCTTTTGAAGTCCCCCACAATTAGGTTAGAATATTATTAATATGATGTGTCCGTATTCCATAATATATGTAAGAATGTCCTATTATGATGTATAGGCAGTTAACCAGTACTGAGTTGGCCTTTTCTGGCTCGTATTGCACACATATCATACTGCCATCTTATTGTAATGGCAAGGGAGGTGATTCAAATGAATGTTGTTTATTTAATGCCAGTACTTGTTAACTCCCTTGAATTTGTAACAGTATCTAAAACTCGTAACAACTTGAGAAGTTTAATCAGATTATGTAATTATTATGTTATACGTAAATTGACAATTTTAACACTGGCATTCAGTTGTTTTATTACATTATTTTATGTTTATATCATAATTTTAACATACAACTTAATCTTTCTGTTCATTTGTGCCGGGGAGTCTGTTTTTTGTAACAACAGGGTTTTATTAGCTCACCTGTCACAAAGTGACAGGGTGAGCTTTTGTGATCGCTTTTCGTCCGGCGTCCGTCGTCCGTCGTCCGTAAACTTTTACTTTAAATGACATCTCCTCATAAACCACAAGGCCAATTTCATCCAAACTTCACAGGAATGTTCCTTTGGTGGTCACCTTTAAAAATTGTTCAAAGAATTTAATTCCATGCAGAACTCTGGTTGCCATGGCAACCGAAAGAAAAAACTTTAAATATCTTCTTTTAAAAAACCATAAGAGCTAGAGCTTAGATATTTGGCATGAAACATCTTCTAGTGAGTGTCTACCAAGTTTGTTCAAATAAAAGCCCTGGGGTCAAAATTGGCTCCGCCCCGGGGGGTCATTGATTTTCCCTATATGCATATAGTAAAAACTTAAAAAATCTTCTTTTAAAGAACTCAAAGAGCTATGGCTAAGATATTGAGCATCAAACATGTTCTAATAGGTGTCTACCAAGTTTGTTCAAAGAAAAGCCCTGGGGTCAAAATTGGCCCCGCCCCAGGGGGTCATTGATTTTTCCTATATGCATATAGTAAAAACTTAAAAAATCTTCTTTTACAGAACCAAAAGAGTTAGAGCTAAGATATTTAGCATGAAACATGTTCTAATAAGTGTCTACCAAGTTTGTTCAAATAAAAGCCCTGGGGTCAAAATTGACCCCGCCCCGGGGGGTCATTGATTTTCCCTATATATGCATATATAGTAAAAACTTAAAAAATCTTCTTTTAAAGAACTCAAAGAGCTATGGTTAAGATATTTAGTATCAAACATGTTCTAATAGGTGTCTACCAAGTTTGTTCAAATAAAAGCCCTGGGGTCAAAATTGGCCCCGCCCTTGGGGTCATTGATTTTCCTTATATGTGTATAGCAAAAACTTAAAAAATCTTTTTTGAAAAAACCCAAATAGCTAGAGTTAAGATATTAAGCATGAAACATCTTTTAGTAAGTGTCTACAAAGTTTGTTCAAATAAAAGACCTTGGGTCAAAATTGGCCCCGCCCCGGGGTCATTGATTTTCCTTATATGTGTATAGCAAAAACTTAAAATCTTCTTTGAAAAAACCCAAATAGCTAGAGTTTAGATATTAAGCATGAAACATATTCTAATAAGTGTCTACAAAGTTTGTTCAAATAAAAACCCTGGGGTCATAACTGGCCCGGCCCCAGGGGTGTCATTGTTTTTAACTATATGTGTATAGAAAAAACTTAAAAAAAATCTTCTTTTAAATAGCCCAATGAGCTAGAGCTTAGATGTTTAGCATGAAACATCTTCTTATGGGTGTCTACCAAGTTTGTGCAAATAAAAGCCCTTTGGTTGAATTGGCCCTGCAACGTTTGGGGGGGTTGGGGGGGGGGGCCTATATACAGGTGAGCGACCTCAGGGCCATCATGGCCCTCTTGTATAAAATAGTAAGCCAGTTTTGTAGTAATTCAGAGCAATAATGGCATACATACATTTTGTAATCATTTTTCAATATTATAAAACTTTTACTAATTTTCAGCCCAAAAAACTTTGTACAAATACTTGTCTTACATTGAAATCAAATGATCATTTAGATTTTTATAGAGAGGTGTATATTTCATGGCTACATAGATGACTAGTCCCTTAGACTTCAGTGTAAAATTTCACTATATTTATACCTCTAAACATATGCTTCTCATTCCATCTTCTATAATAATATATATATTTATCTATCTACATATATATATATATGTATACAATTTTCTACTTTTTGGCTATTTGTGTTGGTTTTTATCCCTGTTTTCTAAAGTGTAATGAAAACTGAAAATTAAAAAAAAAAATAACCAAAAACACTAACATGTTTACAATATACATACGTGTAAATAAATTGTATCTTAATATTACATCTTGTATATTATATGTAGGTAAAAACAAGAAAAAAAGACACAAAAATAAACGTGTAGACTGGTCATGGGATATGTTATTATGATAAATATGGTAACATGAAACTAATTATCAATTTAGTATTTAAAAAAATGTTCACTGTACTGATGAAACATATCTTGCCCAAGTAAAATAAGCCTTAAAATGTTAAATATTGCATTGTTTCAATAAACAGCTGTCTTGCAAATTTTGTTCACACGTCGGCCAACATTATTGTTAAAGATATTTCATTTTTTATGCAATATCAGTGTTATCTGTTGATTTTGTCCGTCAAACTCGTGAAACTAAACTGTGAATAATTTACATGGTTTGTTAGGCCTATAGTTTTATTTGCATTCATATCTGTACGTTTTTTTATACATTTTTTTACAAGTTAACAATTTTGTTTAAAACAACAACAAACAAGTGCTATTTGTTATGTCCGGTTACATCTGTCTTTTTAGACAGAACAGGGGTTCATGTTAATGTTTTTATGTTGATGAAATTTGTTATGTTATGAAATGAAAGATTTTTATACAATGTAAGATAATATATAAGGCCTTCTACAAAATATCTCAGTTTTTCCACATATCTATTATTTCAATCTACCTATATATCACGTATATACTCTTATACTTATATAATTGAACATAATTATACTACAGTTTACATAGGTAACTGGTGAACCTTATTTTGGCAAGGCCTAGAATAGCTTCTACATCAGAAGGCAAGGACCTAGAAATTGAGACTTCACGTTATGAAACCAACAACTAGTTTCTCAAACATGGCTATTGCTTATTTTGATTTTTAAATGTTGCCCAGCCAGTCAAAAAATAGTTTGATGTTTTCCGTCTATGGACCTTAATCCAAACAGATTTGACCAATTGAAGGGTTATTTTTTAGAATAAATTGGTCTTTTTTTAAGCATGAAAGAATAAAACATGGGCTGGACTTGTGTAACAACACAAGTACATGGATGATCATAAGCGATACGGCATTGAGCAGTATTAATTTCTGGACCTTGTGTAAAAAAACCTTGGCAATTAAATAATATCATAAAATTCTTTGTAAAATACCAACATATTTAAGGTTGTGACAGCGAAAATAGTAATTTGTGTTTTAACATCACCAGTGCACTTGTAAACTAGTTTGTTTTTTTCTCTCTCGGAAATTTGGCTTGATTATACCCAAGAATGTATGAAATAAATTGTACCAATATAGATATAATCTATGTTGTTGTTATATATTATACATATACTTATTTCTTTGTATTCAGTTACTGTCCAGTATTGAGCCAAAAGCTATAAAAAGTAGATCAGGCACTGTCTGCCCCCTTAGCTAGATCAGGAGTGCATTGGATTAATAATCCCGGGATAGCTGTTTAATCCTCCGAAGAAGAGAGCGTAAGGTATTGTTTTCGGATGAGACTAATATTCATTTGTCTCACTGCTGATTCAGAAATCATGATATAAGGTGAAGAAATTGGTTAACAGTACAATACAATACAAATACTTTATTTTGCTTTAAGGCCTCCGGACCATACAAAGAAACAATTTATACAAAATTATAGCATGTGCACAGTGTAACAACATATATATCTTTTACTGAAAATGACTGTAAAACATCAAAATTTTCTGGGAGTTTTTTAATCATCATGCATCAATTTGATATTAAACATTAAACTTCCTTTTTTCAAAAGCGTTAAACAAAAATGTTGCTGAACCCTTTTTAAGATTTTCAATTTTTGTAGACATTGATATAAAAAAAAATGTTTTGGGTTGGTGCATTTAGATATTTAATGGGTAAATATAATTTTCTTAGTTCTGAATAAAAATCACATCACAGTACCTGGTTAGTAATCAAGGAAAGCGGGTAAGATAGATTGACGCAAGATAACAATAATGTCTTAAAATCAATAAAGAAATACCCAGAAAAAAACAAATGAAGATCAATCGCCCTTGTGGACCATGATCTGACTTGTCTTTCATTACCAACAAAACATTTACTCTTTTTAGGGAAAATTTCAAAGTGAATCAGACCTCTAGGTCAAAAGTCAAGGTCACATTAAGAGGTCAGAAAAACACTTGTTGAATGTGAAACTTCTTCATACATTGTAGATAGAGAGTTTACATATAATTGTTCTAATAACTTGGCATGAATTTTCAACATTGTGAGGCATAGTTTTGTGCACAAAATTGAAATTCCAAGGTTGCATGCAGAGGTCCAAAATCAGATAAGAAAATGACAAAATACAGGCAAGATAAGTTCAATATATAAATAATAATAAATGCTAACAAACAGAGATTATGAAGCAAAAAAGCAGCTGTAAATGAGAGAAAAAAATAAACATCACTAATAGCATTATATTGTTCAGTAGTTTTATCATCATAAATCATATATTTCCACTGTTGGTTGAAAAATAATTTGAAAGAATAATTCCCAAACTGTGATTGGGATGCTGTCAAGGAAAACAGTGCAAATCATTTTTTTTTAGAAAATCATATATCACTCACTCAGCTACACAAATACCTGCACAATTTTAAGTTTATACTTGCACTGTAACGTTCATCATAAATTGTACTACTATATTCATATCATGATAACAATAATAAGATTTGCACAAACAAAATGTATCTTAATTTCTTTCTTAAAATAGGTCATTGCTGTCGTAAAATTAACTTAGATCCAGGAAGTTTTGTTCTATTAGGAATCTATTATATTATTTTTAGGGGTATAATTTGGTCTCTAGTATACCATTTTTCTTCTTCTTTTATTGAAGCCCGAGAGGTAATGTTACGAGCCAGGCGTAACGAGAAAGAAAAGCCAGCAACAAACTTGTAACAATAACAAATTTATTACAGAAAAATTATTAAAGAAAAATAAAATAACAAATTATGTTTACAAATACCTGAAGTCCAAATAAAAATGTAAAATCTAATGTCTAGTCTGATCCTGGAATGATCCTTTTTGAATAGCACAGTTAAATCCAAGTTAAATCCAAGAACACTTTAGAATAAATTCCCACAATAAAATCCACAAGAATAATTAATAATCCAAGCTCCAATAAATCACTTAATTTCCAAGTTGAATAATACTCCAAATATATTGATGACTTAAAAGATTACTGATGACTAAAAAGGTAACTGATGACTTAAAGATAAGATTAATGAAAAATGTCTCCTTATATATATTAACTAAGAAGTTTCCAGAAAGGTCTATTATGTTCTCAAGTAATCATAATCTAGCAACTTCAACAATAAAGATCATTCCAGAAGTTTCTATCTAAATATAATGCATGAGTTTTCTACAACAGGTAAGAACATTCTAGTACATACATGTAGTTTATGTTCTAAAAATAGAACAATGATAATATTGGAAATACCAACTGGTCAGATATAAATTATATACATGTAATATGTTGCATACATAACAGTAACTCCATTTACTGTCCCCGTAATAGGTAAAATAGG